TCTTGAACCTGCGATGCCATGTGCACAGGCACATTGGTGGTGAGGTGACGGTGACAGCATAGCAACAGAGTTGGCAAGCATAGGTACGCAGGAAACAAACATGCAGGGAAGACAGACAGGTGCACACACACACACACACACACACACACACACACACACACACACACACACACACACACACACACACACACACACACACACACACACACGCACACACACTTGTTTTCGTGTTGAACGCTCTGCGAACTTGTTCTGCATTTTGCCTCGCAGTACTCAAACTGGTCCGACACCAACGACAGAACACGCTGCACACATATATGCAAACACCCACCCACATAATGAGGCAGTGGTGATATCGTATCATGTGCAATCGAGCGTATGCACACACACACACACACACAGACACAGACACAGACACAGACACAGACACACAGACACAGACACACAGACACACCCGTTGGGGTTCGGTGAGGTTGTGGAAGACAAAGCGGCGCAGTGGGACGTGCTTTGGCGCCAGGCAACACGACACGCAGTGCTCATACACACGGCAGCAGTGCCCTGCGTCGCACGAGTCACACACGGCCTGTGAACATGTGGGGGTAGGGGAGAGTAGGGGGATGAGTGGTCGTGAATGGAAGCACACCGGCCAAGGGGGCGACCACACTGTATCTCGCGCAACCACGATGACACACAGCACGCACACCTCGACGATTTGGCTCGTTGAGAAACAGCATCCGTTTGGCTGTGCATCTTCAACGTTGCACACGCGCCCAAGATCATCCACAAGCTGAAGCCCATCAAAGGCTGCGAAACGGCAAGGCAGTTGGGGGGGGGGAGTGAGTAGGTGAGCAGCGGGTTTGGAAAGGCACGTATGGCAAAGCAAACATACACAGACACGCATGAACGTACAGACGTATCGGTGGGATGCATACACACATACACACACCACACCACACCACACCACACCACACCACACCACAACACAACACAACACAACACAACACAACACAACACAACACAACACACTTGTGTATTTGCAGGAGTCGTTGCTTGCGGCAGCAAGGTGTCTGCGGTGGTACCAGGCGACCGGTGGCGGGTGGCGCTCGTGCTCCTGCTGCGGCGCGGCAGCCCCGGTGATGCCGGCCCATGGCGCCGTCCCCTCGATGCTGGGCAGCATGGCCCAGAAGAGGAAGGTGATGCACAGGGACATGATGAGCGCAACCCGGATCGAGCGCCGTCGTAGCCACGTTGCCAACAGCCGCACAGCCCGGAAGCGCATCCAGCCCAACACCCCCGCCGGCGACACGTGGTCCAAGCCAGGCAGGGAACCGGAACGAGGGTGACAGACAAAGGTGACGACGATAGGTCGGAAGAAGCGAGCCAAGCAAGCGGGCAAGAAGGCAAGCAAGCGAGCGAATGGTGTGTTCGTCTGTTGGTCGTTGGTCGCAGCGAAATGAGTCATTCATATCGTCCTCCCCACCAACACAAACAACAACAGCGATGGTGACGATGGTGATGATGATGATGGGTTGGTGCTGGCATTGTGCAGCGCGGGGAGCAAGTTGTGTGTCGTGGCTGGCGATTGCCCTCGCTGTTGCGATGATGACGAGCACAGCTGCACCAACGATGGCATCAACAGCAGCATCAACAGCATCAGCAGCAGCATCAGCAGCAGCAGCAACGGACGCCGAACTAAAGCCTGACGCGTGGACCGACATAAACATGCAAGCAGGCGAAACACGCCTGTTCACCCTGCACAACCCGTCCCCTGGCGCAGAGTGCACAGGGCCCTGCGACCACGGGAACAGGTGGGTCAAGGTCTCCGCGCACTCGCAGGCCCTGCAAGTGCGGCTCACCATGAGCGTGCAGGGGGCGCCGCTCACACCGCAGGGCACGTGCACCAATACGACCGGGTGCGCAACAGCCACGTCCACAGGTGCAGCGCTCATCTCCCGCCTCGGCCAGTGGTACGGCACGCTGGAGCCGGAGTGCTACTTCGAGGGCGCATACTGGGCACCCTTTCCCTCCAACCCCGATATTCATGTGGCCGTTACCCTCCTCCCAGTGTCCACCGCCTCCATCAAGGCAGCGGGCGTGGCGGTGATCGCTGAGTTTGGCTCTGGACGCATGCCCATGCCCGGTGGGTGCGCCACCACATCTCCGTTCCCCTTCGACGCCATGATCGACCTCCAGTACTCCCGCGACAAGACCACCGTCGACTATCAGCAGGCCGACTTTGGCAGCCCGCTCGCCGCCAACTTCCCGTCGAGCGGGTCTGCAGACGCATGCACGTGCGACTACATATCCGCGCAGGCGGACAGCAACCCGGGCACGCTCAAGTTTGAGCTGTATCGCACCTACCTGTCCAACTGCGGGTCGGACTTCCACAAGCCGCTCGACCCAAAGGACCTGCTCGTTGCCCTGTCGAAGATGAGCACCGTCAAGCACGTGAAGACGTTTGGTATCCGCGTGGACGAGGGAAGCATCCTGCCTGACAAGCCGCGCAGGAAGGCCCTCGGCTCCGTTCCAGGACAGGCAAGGGGATGTGTGTGTGTGTGTGTGTGTGTGTGTGAATGAGTGTGTGAGTGAATGAGTGTGCGAGAGAGAGAGAGAGAGAGAGAGAGAGAGAGAGAGAGAGAGAGAGAGAGAGAGAGGCAAGGGGGCGTCGCCCGTGTTGACGGTACCGGCGATATGGCCTTGACATTAGGATATTAAAGGGCTCCGTTTAGGGGTTGTTACTACGTGGTACCCATTGGGCTCTCTTACGTGTTGACCGAATCGACCTTTGAGTTAGGAAAAGTTAAACGACCCTGGACCATCGGCGCTTCATTTGTTGAGTCTACCTCTACGGACTGGGCTGAGGGCCCCTAGTATATCTAGGGGTCCCTGAGTGACTCGACGGATGAGTAGCGAACCCGCTGTGATATAGTCCCCATGGGGCAACACTCTAACTTCGTAGCTAGACGATCGCGGCTGTGTGTGTGTGTGTGAGTGAAGGAGTGTGCGAGAGTGTGCGTGTGTGTGCGTGTGCACGCGTTGTAGGCCATCAACTGCTGCATACCATCCTTTGCTACACCCGGTCATCTTGCCCTCATCCGCCATCCACCACCCATTCACAACACGGCACAGGGTGTCATCTACAACGTGCTGGTCACGGACACGTACCGCGCTGCCCTCTATCCAAACGAACCCATCGAGTCGTTCCAATCCGTCTACGCACCGGCGCACACATATGCGTGCTCGCTCACAAACGACCCAAACTTCGACAACTGCCACCACCTCAGTATGTCATGCACACTCGACCCACACACAGCCTTTGTACCAACAGCAACCACCACCACCCCCACACACATAAACGCATGCACATGCGCACACCCTTGCTGTTTGCCAACATATCCATACACGCTTGTGATCGAACTCACTGCGACTGTCATTGCTGTTGTTGCAGTTGATGGCGTGTACATGGCCGTGTGTATGTGCGCGGGCGCTGTTGGCATTTTCCTCGCACTCTTTGGTCTTCGCTTCTACATCGCAAGTGCGTCGTGTGTGTGCGTGACAGTATGCGTTCGTTGCTTGACTCCAGCTTTTCCCCAACGGTTCACACTCGTCACGAACACACGCGTGGCTTACCAGGCATGATGATCTTTGCTGGTGTGGCGACTGCCACCGCAACGTACATCGTTCTCGCCACGTTGGCACCCTCCCTCTCCTTTGCAGGTCTGTTGCAGTGACACCATGACACCACGCCAAATCACTGCTGTTGCCGCCACATGCGTTGAGATTACCCACCCACAACGCACGCATACACACACACACACACACACACACACACGCATAAGCACACACACGCATACACACACACATACACACACACACTAAACACACATAAACACAAACACATCAACACACACACACACACGCAACGACTGCTAACATGTGCCACGGATCACCCCCGCGTCAGCGTCGATGGGAGCGAGTCTTGGCACCGCGGCTGTGCTCGTGTTCCCGCTGCTCATGTGCTGGAAGTGCACAAACTGGAACGGAATGTGGATCACGTTTCAGGGCGCGGTGGGGTCAAATGCGAGTGTATGTGTGGTTTATGCATGTGTGTGTCTGTATATACGTTGTACACGCTCCCTCATCAGTTTCCTTCCATTTTGTTGTAGTCCTCTCTCTCCCCCGTCTCTGTCCACAACTCACCCGATTCGCATCTCATCATAACCCATTTGTCACGCCTTCCCCCCCCCTTTCAGGTTGCCGGCTTTCTGGTTGCATGTCTCGTGTTCGCCACTCCTCTCGGTGCGCGAACGTGACATGACCCTGCGCGTGTGTTGGGCGTGTTCACTTTTGGACGGACTTGCACACTCGTGTGTGCCATCACAAGCAAAGTGTTGCCCACATTCACGCATACACACACATATACGCACAACATCAACAGGGGAACAACCGCTGTTTCGAAACGACTTCAACTACGGAATGACTTTTGCATGTGTGTGTCTGCTCGTCCCAGTTCTCCTCCTCGTCAAACCAGCACCCGTGAGTGCACAGTTTCGCGTGCGTGTGCGTGTGTGTGCGTGTGCATGTGTGTGAATCGATGCTTGGCGACTGCATTGCCTCATTTCGCTGCTTTTCACTTTGCTTTGTTCACGGCGCGTGTTCTTTCAGATTTGCGTCTTCAGCACATCCATGGTTGGCTGCTACATGCTTCTTTAGGAGGTGAAAGAGGAGGAAGCAGAAGGAATGGCTGGCTTGATCAAAGCCAAACCAAAACACACACACACACACACACACACACACACACACACACACACACACACACACACACACACACACACACACACACACACACACACACACACACACACGGAGGCAGAAAACACCACAACAGGAAAGCAGAGTGGAGGAGTGTAACGGTGTGAAGGGAAGCAAGCATGCAACATGCATTGTTACTGAATGCTGACGGGCAAAACAAAACATGAAACAGCAAAACGATGTGGCAAACAAACGCCATTGCTGGTTGGCAGCAGTGGCGATGGTTGATGGTGCGAGGAGGGGGAACTACACTTCAATGTCGTCATCATCCTCGTCCTTGCTGACCCACTTGTACTTGTGCTGCGCGTGGCCGAACCCTGCAACGTCAGCGAAGGACACCAAGGCATTGTGGATATGCCGACGTGAGTGCAATCGATTCATTTCGCGAGCGGCAACTTCCTGTTGACGGATTCACAAAGAGCACACACACACACACACGCACACACACACACACACACACACACACACACACAGACACACACAGGCAGACACAGACAGACACACACACACACACAGACAGACAGACAGACACAGACACACACACACACACACACGCAGACACACCTTCGTCGTAGTTTCCCTTGAGCTTGAAGAGTTGCTTAAAGTGTGGTTTGCAGAAGAGGGAGCCCTTGTAGGCAGCAAAGTTGCCCAAGCCAAGCACCTTCTTGCAGTGCGAGCAGCGGAAGCATTGCTGATGGTGGTAGTGCCAACGCACGGAGAATTGGGACAGACAGCGTGGAAATGAGATGGAGAAAAGAGAGTGGTGTGTTTGGTGTGTTTGGTGGGGTGTGTGTTTGCTTTTGTTAACTCGCTTGGAAAACAAGGCCAATCCATGATCACGAATCATCGCAACAGCAGCGCAGTGTTCTCGATATCAATGCGCAAACAAGGAAAATGAAACAAACAGACGCACGCATGACGGACCTTGTGGTACGTCTTCTCGTCAGCAACAAGCCGCTCCATGACAAACACGGTCTTGTCACACACCTGCATGGATTGGGGTTGTGAGGAAGGCAAACATAGTGAGGGAACACAGAGGAGAAACGCAATGCACGGCATCAAATGCTGCAAAGGACAATGTCCACCAAGATGCAGACATAAGAAAAGGAACACAAACCAAGCAAAGCAAAACGAAACAAAACAACCAAGCAAGCAACCAAACCAAACGAAACCACCCATCCCAGCAACTTACGTAGCACTTTGGCTGCACGGGAGGTTGCCAGCCCTTCTTGGGAGCAGCAGAGCCGTCGCCGTCAACAGACGCCTGACTCTCAAACTTGGACTTGCCAACCTCGCTCGGCTTGAGCGGTTTGGGCGAATCGACAGCTGCTGTTGCGCTCGTGGTGGCAGCGGAATCAGCCGCACTCGGCTCCTGAACGCATTGCAACGACGAGGGAACAGAAGACAAGGGAAACATGCGTGAAACACGAGGAAGGGTTCGCGGGTGGTGACCTGAAGTGTGTGCACGCGCACAAACAAACAAACAAACAGACAAACAAACAACCAAAACAAACAAAACAACCAAACAAACAAACAAACAAACAAACAAAACAAACAAACAACCAAAACAAACAAACAAAACAAACACACACAATCACAGCGCGTCACCTTCTTGCGTCGGAGGGACTGGCGGAAGTCGACTTGCTTCGGCGCTGCCGCCGGCTTTTTCTCCTCATCTTTCTTCCGCTGTTCATGTGTTGGCCATGGTGTGCATATGTGCAGGAAAGCGTGACGGGTGAATGCAGTTGAAGTATTGGCGTTGTCTCCACTAGACGTCAATGCATGGCCATAGCTTCATCAGCAAGACCACACCACCACCACCACCACCACCACCACCACCACCGCCGTACCCTGATGGTGCGCCTGAGTTTCGGGCGTTCAAAGGTACCACCGGTTGTCTTCAGCTCCCCGGGCACTGCTGCGCCACTTGGCGACACAGACCGTTCCCGCTCGCCCGTCGACGCAGAGTCCGAACGCGCGCGCTCAACTGCCTCGTGCTTCTTGGCGGGCAGACTGGGCTTGCTGCTCACATCCACAGCAGGCTTCTTCGCAACAATGTCGGGCTTCTTCGCAACAATGTCGGGCTTGGCCGTCGTGGGCGTGGGCTTGGCTGGTTCTGATTGTGGCTTGGTTGATTCTGCTGCGGGCTTGGTTGATTCTGCTGCGGGCTTGGCTGGTTCTGCTGCGGGCTTGGCTGGTTCTGCTGCGGGCTTGGCTGGTTCTGCTGCGGGCTTGGTTGCTGGAGGTGTTGGTTTCGTTGTCTCCGGCTCATCAACAACAGAGTCGCCCTGCCATTCAAACCACACGCACGGCAGTCAATAACAGCGAACGACTCACGACTCACTGGTGTGTGTGTGTGTGTGTGTGTGTGTGTGTGTGTGTGTGTGTGTGTGTGTGTGTGTGTGTGTGTGTGTGTGTGTGTGTGTGTGTGTGTGTGTTTCTCACCGCGTCGAGGCCGGCAATTGCGTGCTTTTTGGTCGGCGCAGCTGGTTTGCTCTCCTTCGCCTATGCAATGGCGGTGTTGGTGATTCGCGTGTACGTGCGTGCGCGTGTGTTGATGTGAGTGCACAGTCATGTTGCTTGCATAGCATCAGCAATCACGCTGCCATCGATGCGCAGTACGCAACCATGTACGTGTGTATGTACATATGTGTGTGAGTGTCTACGAACAGCGTCGAGAAGGCGGTGAAGCCGTTCGTTTTCCGCTTGAAGCGTTTTCTCGCGGCTCAGCGCCTCCCTGCCACATTCGCAGTTGTGAAACAAGAGCAAGGGTGAGAGATCTAACACAGTGTCCGAAGAGACACAACAGTGGTGAACACACACTTGCACACACACACACACACACACACACACACGCACGCACGCATGCAACAGCGCACCTGAGCTCGGCCTTTGTGCTGATGAGTGTGGCTTCCAGCTTTTGCATCTGCTTCAAGTGCGAGTCATCTTGAGACGCGGTTTTTGTGGATTGAGCGGACAATTTGTCCACCTTGCCACGCAATTGCGCAATGGTTTGCCCTGCATCTGCAAGCGCCTTCTGCTCCTTCTTCAGTTGCTGAGTCACATCCTCCTGCGCGCCCACCTTCTTCTCAAGCTGTTACAACAAGATCGAAGCAACAAACGTGAGCTTAGCACGTGAGCGTGCGTGTGTGTGCGCAAGCAGAGTGTATGCGTGCTTCCGTATGCGCGCGCATTGAATGTGTGCGTGTGTGTTGTTTCAATTAGAATGTGTGTGTGAGTAGGTGTGTGCGTGCGCAGGTATGCGAACAGCAATCGGTAGCAGCCGACCTCCTTCACGCGCTGCTTGAGCTCATCGCGTTCGTCACGGATCGTCTTCTCCTGCGCCCGCGCCTCCCTGTCCAGAGCCGTACCATCCAGCAAACGTGAGCGCACACATGTTATGGAGTGCAGCTACAGGGATAAAGAGTACGCATAACTCAGCACAAACGGCCACGCACGTACTGTCCTTCGTGTGCACATTCTCTCTTCTCTGTCCCTCCACCCATGACACACACACACACACACACACTACAAACACGCTTACCGCAGTTCGGCTTTGAGGGAGATGAGTTGGCCCTCAGTCTTCATGGCGCCGCCAACGCCACCAGCAGCGCTGTTCTGCTGCTGCTTGAGCTTGCGCATTTCTTCCCGCAGCGCTGTCAGCTGATTCTCGGCGTGTTCGCGCGCCTCGCGTTCAGCAGCCACGTCCGCCTTCAGGCGAGCAATCAGCTGATTGTCCTTCTCAGTCGCAACACCGCTGGCAGCAGCCGCGGCCTCGATGGCGGCGACGGGCGATGCTGACGACGACGCGGCCTTTGACGAGCGCGATGAGGATGACGGTTTGGCGCCGGCGGGAACACTCGGCATCTGCCGCTTCGGGGCACTTGCACCGGGGGCCTTGGCGTGGTGTGGCGTGGATGAAAGGGGACGGGGCAAGGTGGATAGAACGTTAATGAGGCACACAAACGCAAGCACACAGACAGACAGACGCACAGACAGACAGACAGACAGAGACACAGACAAACACGCACAGACACAGACAAACACGCACAGACAGACATACATACATACAGACACACAATCACGTTGCCGTGCTCACCTTGTTTGAGCGGGATGGCCGGCGAACGGATCCGGCCGGGCGCTTCGGGCGATCGAGCGTCGGGTGCTCAAGCGTCTTTGTCTCCGCACTGATGGCGCCAAACACAGCACTCGTTGTTTTGGGTGTGTCATCCGTCGCTCCTCCGCTGCCGCTGGCTGTTTCGGACCGCTTATCCTCCGCGTCCTCTTTAGTCTTGTCGCCACCACCACTTACTATGACAGCCTCACCCGCGTCCTTCTCCACTTCATCGGCTGCAGCTGCCTGGTCTTCAGCATCCCCTGCGCTCTCCTTTGCTGGGCGGGCACGCGGCTTCACCTGATCGTCGTCATCACCTGTTGTCGGTGGTGTGGCCGTCATCTTGGATGGTGTTGTGCGAATCGGCGCCTTCTCCTCAGGCGTCGCAGTCTGACGTGTGTGTGTGCGTGTGGGTGAGTGGGGGGGGGGGAGGGAGAGAGAGAGAGAGAGAGAGAGAGAGAGAGAGAGAGAGAGAGAGAGAGAGAGAGAGAGAGAGAGTGTGTGTGTGTGTGTGTGTGTGTGTGTGCGTGTGTGTGTGTGTGTGTTATCTACTATGACTAACATAGGACAGGAACAGTGCAAGTTTGTAATTTTGACGAGAGTCTTTCCAGTGGTCCACTCTTTTGTGGTACAGCGA